TAACTAGCAACCACTTCTGAGCATTAGCAGAAAGAAGTATTATTCAATCAGAAATTCAAAACAAGAGAAATATTTCAGTCAACGCAGCACTTACAATGCATACAGTAAAACTAAAAGGATGGCCAGACAGATGGAAACCCTATCTAAAAGCTTGGATTAGGGTTAAAGGCCAAGTAACTACAACAAGCAATTGGCTCTAGTCGTTAGAAGATCTCAAAATACAAAACCTAGAAGCCAACAGCTACTCAGTTAAAGCTAGTACAGAATCTTTACGAAAAGAACTACCATCAGCACCTACTCTCTTACTGAGTCCAGAAACTTTACAACAGGAACTTAATATTTGGGTCAAAATGAAACATACTTCTTAGAGAAGCTCGATCCCGAATGGAGAAAGAAAAAACACAAAAACTAGAGGCTACAGAAATCAACTTTAGTCCTAATAATCCATACAAAAATAATATGGAGGAAGTAATTCAAAATGAGAAAGAACTTGCAGCTCCAGCTTCGACTACATTGTCTGAAGAAATTTCAAATTCCAACAAGAGCTCAGATAGCAATATGGAATTAGATTTTTCTTTTTCTACTACACCTACAGATGTTGAAATTGATGAAATGACAACAGGTCCAAACAATATGATGGAAGAGCCCAGCTCTAACTCTACTGAACAAAACGAGATTCCTTTTACTACAGTAATGCCAAGAAAATATAAAGGCAAAAGCCCTAAGAAGAACAGTCAATACAGATCCGGCCAACCATATGAAATTCCAGGAAATTCAAAACAAAATTTCCCGGGACCTAGAAATCAACACTAAGAGACCCATCTCTTAGTGTAGCCAACAAACACTATAATTTTTATGATTAAAATCACTACACTAAATATTAAAGGTCTAAACAACAGACCTAAAGCTCAGAGAACACTCACTCTCTTAAAATCGTATAATTTAGACATAATCATGATACAAGAAACCAACTTAAAAGACTTGAGTACAAGACACTTCTTATCACAAATCTGAGGATTTGACTCTATATGGTCTTCGAAAACTGCAATATTAGCAGGCAAAAAGAATATCAAACTCACTGACAAAAAAGAATCACACAATGGCCAAGTTACCAAAGCCAGAGCAGAGATTAGACATCAAGTTTTCTTATTTATTAATGTCTATGTCCCACCTAGCCTAGATGAGAGAACATCTTTTCTTAGAAACTGGGTTCCGGACACTTCAAATAACAGTATAAACATTATAGCAGGAGACTTTAACACCAATCTGAACCCAGAAACCAATAGAATAAGCCAAGCTTCAGCACAATACGATCACTCCAAAGGTCTCCTAGAAAATCTAACTAAGGACTACATAGACACAGCACTTTTTTCTAAAGAGAGTCCATTTCTTACTTATCACCAAACTACTCAAGGAGGTCAAAGAATGGCAACCCGTTTAGATTATATACTAATTGAAACAAGCTATAATCATCTATGTACAAACACATGTACATGTTTTGGTAATTCAGACCATCTGCTAGTGGAAACTGAAATCAACCTTAGGCCCAAACATCCAAAAAAATCATTATAGAGATTCAATAGAAAACTTTGGAATTCACATGAATTTAAAGCAGACATTTCTACAGAGCTTCAAAATATTCACAATACTAAAGACTGGGATTGGCACAAATGTGTAATCCAATCTATAGCAAAAGCTATTAAAGCTGAACCAGCTGCAGAAAAAAACATTCAGAAGCTTCATAAAAGACTCAATTATTTTAATAACAAATTAGCAAAAAACCCAGAACTTGAGGAACTTAAACTGATTATAGAGGACTTAAACCTCAAACTACAAGAAGAACTCACTTTACTATCTAACAAATGGTAACTAAGATCTAATACTAAATGGATCGAGGAAGGTGAAAAATCTACCAAATACTTTTTCACACTATACAAAAAAAAAAATTCAGGAAGCTGTAGTTCTAGGATTCAAATCCCTAATGGACCCAACTCAGCAACACAAGAACAAATTAAGTTATATTAGGGAATCCTATGAAAACATTTACAAAGAGGAATCTATTGATGAGGAGGCAGCTCAGCAGCTTACTGAGAACTTAGCACAGGTCTCTTCTGAGCAGAATCTCATTCTAACAAAACCCATCTCAGCAGAAGAAGTAAGTCAAGTAATTGACAAATTTCCAAACAATAAAACACCAGAACTAGATGGACTCACATATAAATTTTTTAAAGATACTAAAGAAATTATTGTGCCAAAACTGACAGAGTTGTTCAACAATATTCTGAAGACCGAAGAAATTCAATCATCTTGGAACAAAAGTTTTATTACCTTAATATTAAAAAAGGCAGATAAGTTGTCAGAGCTAGGTAACTAGAGACCTATATTTTTGGTTAATTCAGATACCAAAATTTTCATAAAAATTTTGGCCAACAGAGTTAACCCTATATGCAACGAATTAATTGGCCCAGCACAACAGGCTTTATATCTGAAAGATCAATTACTGATACAGCAATAGATATCATCACAGTTATAAGAAACCAAAGCAACCAGACTAAACAGCATTGGCTTCTTCTCTTAGACCAACAAAAGGCCTTTGACAGAGTCAACCATAACTTCATCCAAATAGTTCTGGAAAAAATGAACTTTGACCAAAGGTTTATAAACATAATCAGCTCTCTCTTCACTACACAAAAAAGTACATATAATTGACTCCAGAATGATCTCTGAGTCTTTTAGAGTGGAACGAGGAGTAAGACAGGGGGACCCTCTCTCTCCTCTTCTGTATATACTAGCTATCAATCCACTAATCAATGCAATCAACCAAAACATTAATAGTATTCGAATTAATAATTCAGCATTCAAGATAGCGGCCTATGCAGATGATCCATCTGACTGGTCCAAACTTTTAGAGATACTAACAAAATATGAAATGGCCTCAAATGCCGTTATTAATAAGGCAAAGTCTACTCTAATCCCACTAACGAATATTGCCCGAAGAATCGAATTACCTAATCAGGACATGTTTAAGTTCCTTAGTGAAGACCAAAATTCTTTCACTATCTTAGGGTATACTGTAGATATAGAGAACATCTGACAAAAACTCTTTGGTCTGAGATGACTAAAAGAATCAAGAATAAAATACAGGACTTCATGACTCGTGAGTCGATAGCGCAGTAGTTAGTTAGCGCTCCCGGGTTACAATCGCAAGGTCACGAGTTCAAGTTTACTGGGTGACGAACAGCTTTGCCAGGACCACGATTGGCTAAGATTTTTGGAGGATTTTCCATTAAAAAAAAAAATAATAAAAAACAAGATTCGTACAAGTTGCAGTCCGCTAGTATAGCCACGGGGCTGGGGACAACCAGATAAGATGTAATCCATCAACAAATGATACTAAAATTAAGAAAACCCAGCTTAAAGATTACTAGAATCACGAATATTAGATATAAAAGGTCGATCTGGCTTGTGAGTCATATGAAGTTAGGGAACTGCGAATCTAGAGAATGTAGATCCTACACTGCGACACCAGGGACCCAGGACGTCATATGACATACTTAGCGGAGCATGAGTTATCTCACCAGTACAGTGACATATAGGTGGCTAATTCGCCATACTAATAATCGAAAACTCTGGCCTTTGAGAGATGTGAGAGATCCGAAGGTGTCTAAGGACCTTCGAGATGCGGAGTGAGGTAAAAAAAAAAAAAAAAAAAATACAGGACCTCTCACAGAGAAACCTCTCATTTAAAGGAAAAATTCTAGCATCCAAGACACTACTTATCTCTAAAATATTGTACCTAGCCTACCTACTATCCTCTACAAGCAACTAAATAAAATCAATACTTTAATCAAAAAAAAACTCAAGAATGCTTCTGTAATACTCAACTTTCCAACTCAGTACAGAGCAAGGAGAGTTATCAGCTCCAATCCTTAAAGATATACTTGATGCTAGGCTATTATCAATTTGGATTAAACTTTTCTCAAGTAATTCCTTTTGGGCTATAACGGAGAGAGAAAAGCAACAATAATGCTTCAGAACAAAAGAAGGCTAACTCCTAAAGAAGCATTATCTCAAGTATCTTGCAGGACCAGAGGATAGACAAACAGCTGAAAACCTTATGGTAAAGATTTAAGGGTAGAATCAATGCAACTTACTCCTTAAATGACATAGATGGACAACAATTCATAGTTAAAAGAGCTCTATCAAGCTGATACAAAACAATCAAGAAACCTCATGAAAACAGAAACAACCAAAACAGAAGTCATACATCTTATAAATGGCTAAAAACAAAATGGATCCTAAATAAAAAGAAAGACATCTTCCGGAGGTTAACTCTACTAGGCTAGGTGGGGCATAAGCATTAATAAATGAGAAAGCTTGATGTTTAATTTCTGCCCTGGCTTTGGTAACTTACTCATTATGTGATTCTTTTTTGTCAATGAGTTTGATATTCTTTTTGCCTACTAATATTGCAGTTTTAGAAGACCATATAGAGTCAAATACCCAAATTTGTGATAAGAAGTGTCTTGTGCTTAAGTTTTAAATTGGTTTCTTGTATCATGATTATGTCTAAATTATATAATTTTAAGAGAGTGAGTGTTTTCTGAGCTTTAGGTTTGTTGTTTAAACCTTTAACATTTAGTGTAGCAATTTTAATCATAAAAATTATAGTGTTTGTTGGCTACATTAAGAGATGGGTCTCTTAGTGTTGATTTTTAGGTCCCAGAAAATTCTGGTTTAAATTTCCTGGAATTCCATATTGTTGGCTGAATCTGGTTGTTTAGTTGTGTAGTTGTTTAGTTGTTTAGTTGTTTAGTTGTTTAGTTGTTTGTATAATAAAAATTAATTGCAAATAAAAAAATATGCCTCATGATTTTTACAACTTTATAAGTTTCCGTATTACTCTTTTATAATGTAAAAACTACAACTAATTGACTAGAAGTCTTCACCATAGTTATATTATAAGAATGTCGATTCTGTAATTCAAAATCTTCACTATGTCAAATTTTCACTATGGGTGTTCTCAAACACCTCACTCAATGGATCGGAAACAAATTTTTAATAGTCGGAAATTGAATAAATTAATCAAGTGAGCTGCCATTGCAATGAACAGATCAGTGAGATACAAACCATCTTTTTTCTCAAAAATTTACCATTGATAAAGATCGCCTAAGCATTACTTTTAATTTTTTATATATCAAACATATAAACAATGATTTCTCAACAAATTTTTAACTGATATGAAAAAAATAGCTACTTTATTTTTAATTCTCGAAGCTTTTAAAAATAAATATTCGATACCTTAATATGAACATAAAATAAATACACCATCTTTTGACATATCGTCATTGATCGTGATGCTTGAGTGTCATCATGTTTGTTATTTAATTAATTGATTGAAATGCTTGAGAACACTCTATATTGAGCATTTACTATAACGATTACTAGATTATAAAAAAATCAAATCTTAGTTCATTTATAAATATTCCAGAGCTAATGGCCTTTTCTTGATACCCTAGTTTTTTCACAAAAAATTGTTCGCCTTCGTGATTTTTGATTAATTAAATTTCAAGATCAGGTTAGCGTAAACAATCGAAGCAAAATCACTTTTTTACCGCAGTTTTATTCTTGGTAAAAAATTATATGGGTGAACAATTTTTTGTGGAAACGCCCGTATTTAGATGATTTTTAACAATACATATTCAAATTAGTTCAAACTGATTACGGATTTAAACCAAAATATATTCGCTCTGATATCTTTTAATTTAATTTAACTTTTATTATCAGCATGCAAGTACAATTCAAATGGAATAAGAAAATACACCCACAAAATCCAAGCAAATTAAATGACTATGAAAGAACTATTTAACGAAAGATGCTAAATAAGCCAAATCATAATTTTATCTAAAATAGTTATGATAGTTTTATACGTACTTACCAAACTAAGTTGAATTAAAGAGCCCCAAAAGCACTATTTAAAAGTAAAATACATTTGAGTAATTTTAAGTTTCAAATGGAATAATTAATTTCACAATTGCTGCTGCTGGAGATTGAAAGTACATGGATTATATTTTCAATTAGAACCCCAATTTCTAGCATAGCATCAACTGTGATAATTAAATTTATACCTACTAAGTTAATGCGGATTAAATAACCTGGAAGACACTATTAAGAGTAAGAACCTGAAAGCTTGAGTTGTATATTTAATTGAATAATAAATTGATATTTCTTTTTTTTTTTTTTTTGGTTTTTTTTTTTTTTAAATAAATTGATATTTCTACCCACTAAAATAATGCAAATCTGACGATGAGAAGCACACTTTCAAGAGAAAAAGCTTATAAGCTTGATTTAATGAAATAATAAAATTATATAAATTGATCCCAATGCATACCAAGATAATGTGAAGTAGAATACTTGGAAGGCGCTGTTTTAGATTAATATTTTTAAGTTTAAATGCATATTTTAATATAATAATAAATGATTATGTCTATACTCACAAAATTTATGTGAAATAAACGAACAGAAAGCACTATTCCAATGAAATACTTATTATTAACTTGAATTCGCAAATTTTAAATATATAGTAGTAAATAATCTTTATATCTATTAGATTAGTATAATATCAATGATTAGACAACTTCACTTAAAGATAAATAATTGTTTGCTTAATAAAATTTAAATAAATTTGTCAAATTGCATTCGCTAAAATTTAAACTAAAAAACATATTTAATGTAAATATCTATGAGTCAAATAACAGAGTCAAGTATACTATGTGAGAGTTTTTTGACACAGACCAAAACTAGTGCGAATTAAGCTGTTTATAGGTAAATACTTATATGTTTAAATTGCAGATTAAAAAGAATAATTATTATTTTCATACGTACAATTTACCACAAAATTCTTACAAGCTTAAATAGCAGATCTTAAAAGTAATAGCTATAACAGCTAAACTTTATATGAATTAAATAACCTAGAAAGTATTGATCAAAAATAAATGTAAATCACAAAGTTTAAATGAAATAATAAATAATTTTATACTCACTAATGACTAAATTACAGAATTAACTAAAAAGTGTTGCTTAAAGAGTCATATGTTCACCATGCTAATAAATTTTTAGTAACTTAAGAGGCACTGCTTTAAGATAAATACATATTCAGCTTGAATTTCAAAATTTAAATAAACCAACATATGAATATACAATAAATCGCTGCCTATTGTCCACTAAATAATAAAATATATAATTTTTATTAAGTATTCAATAAAGTGTTCGATACATAAAAAAACCGTGGTTTTAAGGCCATGCAAAATTATTTAATTGGTTTTCATAACCCGGTCTGGTCAGAATTTGAAAGCTTGTAAAAAAAAAAAGGGTTAATAACTGATGGGTTTTTTAAAAAAAATTTATAAAATTTTTATATATGAAATTAAAAAAAAAAGCCAGCCGGCCGGCCGGTCGGGTCTCATATTATGAAAACTGAGATATTAAATTTGTAGCCTAATTAAGTGATGAAACAATTTTAATATATTTTATATTTTTTTTAAGAAATACTAATTGATTCAATAAATCTCGACTAAGTCTATTATGCTTATTCATTACATGGTTATCAGCATCTGAGAATAAACACTCTGATGGTACAGAGGAAGCTGGCACCGCAAGATATCGCCTCGCCAAAATCGCCATGGTAGAAAAGAGAGTTTGGTGTTTACGCCACCATTCTAGAGGACAAGATACTTCATCAAGAGATACTTCTTATAGTTTACAATACTGATCAAACTTATTAGATTCATCATTAGAGTTTTTTGTTCATAAATGCATAAAAAATGTTAACATTTTGGATTTTTTACGTGGATGCAAAAACGTTAAAGTCAAATTATCATTGTTAGCATCTGGTGTTGTATTATTATTGGGAGTTGATGTTGGGCAAAGTTCATTAAATTGACGACGCATATTCTGAATAGTTGCATGGTGTAAAGCACTAGTGCAAAAATTTAAATTTTTAAATCTTGGGTCGAGAAAGGAACAGCACATGCCTATTTCACTTGGATCACCCCACCGTTCAATTAAATTTTCTAATATCATATCTTTGACAAGAACGGCCATGCTATTTTGTTCTGTAAAATTTCTAAGCTAGCAAGCAAATTCTTCCAAAATTGGTGTTATAAACCCAAGGGTTGGGTATTTGGATCCACTTAAAAATTGGATTGCTTTATCAAAAGGAGAAAGAATTTTGATAAGTTCTATTAATAATTCAAATTCTTCTGCTAAAGGTATAAAAGAACTCATGGTTTCTGCCCCTTTTCTCATTTCTCTAAGAGTATGATTAGTAAGAGTTGAGTATAATTGTATAATGGCAGGTTTTAAATGCACGAGACATTCAATAGCATAAAAGGTAGAATTCCAGTGTGTGTCTACATCTTTAATAACATCCAAAGATTCTTTTAACCCTAGAGTAATTTGTAATTGGGCTTCACGAAGCTGTTTACATTTTTTTTCTTTGGACAAAATTGAGATAAGTGATTTACATTTTGATATAAAGTTATCAACCTCCTTTAAATCTAAATTAACACTTAATTGAAGCATATGCCCAGTGTATTTCACATTAGTAACATCTAATTGTTGCACTGCAGATTTGACATTTGAACCGTTGTCTGTAGTAATAGAAAAGATCTTTTGGTGATTAATGTTAAATTTATTAAGAATGAAATTAACTGATTCAATAATATCAGATGCATAATGTTTATCCAACTCTCTCATATCAAGTACGATCTCGTGCAACTCAAATGAATCTATAAGCCAGTGGCAAGTAATTTCAAGATAGCTATCGTGCGCTCGTGACGTCCAAATATCTAAGGTCAAAGAAACTGTATCTGATGTTTTTGAGATAAGATCTATAATTTGTTCTGTCGCAGATTTATAGAAGTTAAATATAATAGTTTTGATCATACTAACACATGGTATTTCAAACCGAGGATCAAGATTTTTCACCCAAAGCCTAAAACTATCATCTTCAACAATATAAATAGGCTCAGCACATGAAATTATATAATGCACAAGTTGATGTGAAAGTTTTTTTGCATGTAAGAAGAATAGGGTTTTGAAATTATTTGTTAAATCGTTTGTTGCTTAACTTTTAATGATTTATCTTTAAGTGACTCTTTAGTAATTTGATGAATATTGTGAAGATGGTTTATTAAATTGGTAGTGGATCCTTTCCACAGATATTCTGTTTCGCATCTTTCAAATGAACAATGAACTTTTTCAGCTTGTTCATCTTCATCAATAAATTTTCAAAAAATTTCTATATGAAACTTCACTGTTTTTTTTTTCTTTTTTTTTTGTTAATAGCATTTGAGTTTGGAGTAGATGAGGTTTGAGTAGATGTAGACACTAATAGTTCGACATCACTATTATCACCTTCTTTATCTTTTTCAGATAAAGAATTAAATTTATCTGAATTATCCATTACAATTTTTTGGAGACATAATTAAAAAATAATTTAATATATATACATTTTTTTAACGTCAATTTATTATCCTTTTATTCTATTGAATGTTAAACTTCGGCGTTAAAGACACTTTGTACCATAAAAAATACAATACCGAAAAAACATGTTCTATACGAGATAAAATCCAGGTTTAAAATTTTTTTTCATTATTTCATTCAAATTGTTCGTTGTTTAATTTTAAATGGTATTTGATTTCTGCTAACATGAGCATTGCCATTAATCAATTTTGTGTTATAAGATTTACTAATTCATATAATTAGTTTAATCTTGCGTATTCACTTTATTATAATTGTTAGAGATTTTAATATTACAAGGATTGAAAGGTAGATTTTGACATACTGTGTGCTTCTTTACTAATAGCACCTTTATAACTTTCTTCTTTAAGTTACAAAGATGGCAAGGTAAAAAAAATTCATTATTTGTGATTGAATAATTTTTTACTTATTCTTTTAAATAAACTCTACAAAATCATATGCAGTGTAAATAAACTTTACAAAATCATATGCGGTGAAATAAACTCTACAAAATCATATTCGGCGTAAATAAGCTCTGTATACAACTCCTTGATTTAACAAATTATCGATTAATGTAACGAGGGTCATATGATAGCGACACCTGCCAAAGTTGTACGTAGCAGATGCTATTTTACATATAAAAATTTTGATCCTGCATTGCATATTCACATGTGTATATTGCGCCATCTATAGTCTTAATGGGGTGTGCGATATACTAATCAAAACTATATATGGTACTAAATAAGAATATTTTTGGTGAAACAAAACCCTAAAAAGCAAGTCATCCTTATTAAATTCATGTTTTTATACAAAATATTAGAATTTGAAATTCAATTTATTGGAGAACAAAGGATTATTATGAGACAAAATATTTCGAATACATTTTTATGCATTTTTGATTAAATGATTGAGAATGGAGGTTAGAAGCAACTACGTATATCTTTGATTAAAAATTTCGAAGACTATGAAAATTTAATTATATGTACAGCCCTTAAAACTGGTTATAAATTTTGTATATATTAAGGTTAAGTTTCAATGAACAAAGTTACGAAGTCAAACAATCGAAACTTTTTTTAAATGAATGAAGTAGCGATTATATGTAAAAAAGACCTAGAAAAAAATGAATTCCTATAGATAATGTAAAAATAAACTTTGTAACTTTATAGATATGGTAAAAACCAATTAATACCAAAATAGTTTTACTAAAAAGAAAGATATGACCTATGCATCTAAAAAAGTGAGACCCAGTTTTTATATATAAGTAACACAATCACAATACCTGATTATAATAAGTTGTTTAGTTGATTACTATAGTAGACAACTAACAACTAGTTGCAGTTGGTTTAGTTGATAGTTATTCGATTAGTTGTTTTTAGATTTTTGAAATCGATTAGTTGAAAAGTTGTCAACTAGTTGATTTTTCAACTAACGATTTGGATCACTAATTAGAACCACATATCACCACAAATACAACAAATTCCAAAAGGACGTAAACCTCTATGGTTTATGGTTCTTGAAGGAAAAATAACTACTAATCAACTCACCAGACAAATCAATCCACAGCTAGACTTACCAAACATCAACTCAATATCATTTCAAACTGGACACTACAAGAAATCAAAGCCTTGGCTAATTACATATAATGATAATCAACATATTATTATTGGAAAGGCCAGGAAATATAACTCTACTAGTGACCAAATATCAGTCACACACTGGGATATTACATTTGATCACTCACATACAAATCTCTATCCTGCACCAATGTATACCTATAAGCCATATACAGGATGCTCTCTAAATTCTAACCGGATTCGAAACAAATGCACAATTAACATTCTAGCTTGTTCATCAACAAAATTCTTGGGAAGAAAGAAATACACAGAAAACAGCACTATACTCAACCTCAATGCTAACTTACTTGACTTGTTATATTTATTAGTATTACGTAACTCTATAAACATATTAACACAACCTATAATCAATATCCAAGACAATGCAATAACTGAAATCTTTATTAATAACCAACTTACACAGACACTAATACAAATTGCAAAAAATAACTCAACTTATTCTCAATTAATATTTTATACAGATGGTTCTGTCAGAGATATCACTACAGAACAATACATTATGGGGATTGAATGAATTCAAACCCAAAGTGACACCATCATCTATACTTATTCTGCAGAAATTCAACTTTGGCTATCATCTTACAAAGGGAACTCATTGCAATACTCTCTGCTATTAGCACTTGTCCAAGAAAAAGTTCTATCATCATCTATACAGATTCATAATCTATTATATCTAAATACAAGAAGCTTATATAATCACCACTCACACCAAACAAAAGATACTCCTATAACTACTGGCCAATATGGCATACTTTACTTAACCTAATTAAAGCCTACGAGCTTAACATTTAGCTTGAAAAAGTCACAGCATACAGCGACAATAACTTTAACAACTTAGCTGACAGACTAGCTAAAAATGCCAATTATTCAACTATACTTCAATTCATAAATAACAACATACATAATCC